CTTAAGTTGAATTTGTATGTAAGTCTGAACAGTATTATTATATAATATTGTATAAGTAATATCATGTAATGAACTCAAACCATTGTGTTTTTTACTCAAATTTTGCTACAAAAGGCTGTTCTTAACTATGGGTTGTCCATAACCTGGGTGCTCTTAACCCGGGGGCCACCTGTATGTACAAATGCATAAAATAAAACAGTGACAATCTATGCTACATTTTGATATAAAGAGTTGGTAGCTGTACTAATTATTAACCATTTATTTCCCTTGTTGCTTTCTCCCTCTGCTATGACATCTTTTAAAGGTTAAATAAAAACCACTAAGGAACAAGTGTAATTGGCAATATTCTTTGGTATTCTTAACATGTTATTCCACTTGAAAAGTGTCCATAAAAAATTAGGGGGAACTATCTTTTTTTTTAAAAAAAGGAGCATTATGATTGTTTACCTCTTTCACTCTTTGCTGCTCACTGTTACACAGGAACGTCCCAAAGAGACAGCTGTAGAGATGGTCAAGGATGGTGAGAAGGAAGAACTCATTGAATTCAAAAGCTGTGGGAAACTTGGGGGGGAAAAAAAGACAAGCATTGTAATAGGTTTACACTGATATTTCCCACATGGCACTTGAGAGAACATTTTCCTGCAAGAAAATTATATTGGAGAAGTGTGTGTGTGTGTGTGTGTGTGTGTGTGTGGTGGTACCATAAAAGAGATTATCCCAGTACCAAGATTTGGTGAAAAAAATGGTGTTACTGTCTGCATCCCTTTCCTTTTGGAAAGGATATAACTGCCTTCCAAAAATAAGAAATGACTATTTTATATATGCCATCCAGAAACGTGAAATGACAGCCAGAAATGGAAGGAAGGCTGTCTCCAGAACTCTAGACAGCTTTGGACGGAGCAGAGCATTTCTACAGGAAGGGCTGGCAGAAAATTGTGATTAAAACCCCAAAGAATTGCTGCTGATGAATGAAGACTGTAAGTAGGCTAGCTGTAGCCCCCATTTGGCACCTCCGGATCCCCTCTGCAGCCTTTAGATTATCTGTGGAATGAGGGGCGTCGGGGAGAAGAAAACTGGTTAACCTTTTCTTTGGTTTTGGGAGGATTTGTGGAGTGAATCTGTTTTCACTGTAAGCCTCCAATTTACTCAGTATAATTCTTCTCATTTTGGAGTAGTTAAAGAGATTAGCTAGGTACCTTACCTTTCTCATAAAGCTTAAGACACCCATTTTGCCACTGATCCATTCCCCCCCCCGCAACAAGATGAAAAAGTTTGTCCAGTATATGGCCACCCATCTCGGCATATGACGCTGGATGGATAACAACAATGTAAAGCACCAACAATCGCAAAGATTAAAGGTCTAACAACCATCATTACCACCAATAAATGTTGACCTTGGCTCACCTGAATCTGCTGTTCTTGGAGGAAATAAATAAATCAACAATGGTTGCCAGCACAATACCAGTCTAACTTTGGTGCAGGCAATATGGAGCTACTTGGATATTGGTCAGGCAGATTCAGGCTCCAATGTTTCTAAAAGGTAAGGAACACTTTGTTGTGCCAAACTATATGGTTATTTTAGTCCAGTGAGAGAGAATCGTTTCCCCCCTCACGTTCGGGACCTGCGTTCTCTCAAAAATAAAGCTTTTGAGGGCACCTGCTGTGGTGGGCAGGGCCAGGGCCTCCACGGGGAAGGCGGTTTACAAAGCAGGGCAAAATCTGCAAGAAGCAACTGCAGGATCTGTGTGCAGCCTTTGGCTTGGAGACTTCCTGTCCTTTCAACACAATCCAAGGAATGCCTTTTGGGATAGCCAAAAATGCTGCAATATCAAAAGCAGCCCTCTGTTGTTTGTCTCAGCATGACTGATTAACACTCAAGGCATGGGGAGTATGTAACTAGGAAGGGGGGTTACTGTAAATGGAGAAAATAAAACCCCATTGAGTTTAACAGGATTAGTGTTAAAGTATTTTTGTAGAACTGCAGCCTATCGGCCCTTGCTACACATGGACAGTGACAAATTTACTTTATACTGGCTCAGCAACAAAAAGGGAGTGAATATTATTCCTGAAATTCTTTGCAGTCCCAGAAATATACCTGTCTCGTCATCTGCCAGACACAGTCAACAAACTGGAGGAAAACAGGAGATCGGTCAGCATCAGCGTGGTTCTTATCTCCATGGCCAACTCTCTGAAATAAAGCAAGAGAAATGTAAAAGGAAAAACACAGGCACAGGCACAGAGACATGTGACAACTACCCTACTCATAGAGAACCAAAGCAAGCAACTCACAGGCCTACAGATGGAGCCCCAACTCCTGATTTGCAGCCTCAAGAACAATTAAGCAACAAATTTGTAATTCTCTCTCCCCCCCTCCAATTTAAAGCTCACTGTGGATCTCTTAAGCCTCTATTTTGACCTTTTAATTCCCAACCCACTCAGAAAACAAACAGGAAAAAAAGAAACAATATTTTCACCCTCCATCCTCACCTAATAACATATGAACTTAAGAACACTCTGTGGAATTAGGCAAGGCCCATCTTAGTCCAGCATTTTGTCTCTCAGTGGCCAACTAGATGTTCCTGAAGTTCTCATAAGGACAAAAGACATAACTGTCTCCCACGTTGTTTCCTTACAACTGGTATTTTTGGCATGGTGACCCCCATCCTGAAGTAACATTAATCTTCCACATCGAGTCTTCGCATTGACTCTATCAAGATAGCTCTTGATGGACCCATCCCCACCAATTTCTCCAAACTCCTTTTAGATTTATCCATCTTAGTGTCCATCACCACATCCCTTAATGAATTCTACATGCTAATTATGCACTGTGTGAAAAAATGCCTTGTCTGTTTTAAATCTCCTTCTACTCGGTTTCATTGGATATTATCCTAAAGTTTTGCACAAAGAGAAAACTTTATGCTGCCTGTTTCTCCATGCCATGTGTAATTTCCTGAATCACATCCCCCTTCACTTTTTTTTTCCTGCATTACAACACCAAACATTCTAGCCTTTCCTTGTGGGAAAAGTGTTCAATATCCTTGTTTATTTTGATTGCCCTCTTCTGTACTTTCCCAGCAATTGTGTAGCATTTGTCAGTACTGTATAATATAGTTCTGCAAATGTGGATGCGTTATAGATTTGAATAAGGGCATTACAATGCTGACTTTCAACCCTCTCCTTGTTATCCTTAACCTGGAATTTGCCATTTTCACAGCTGTAGCACACAGCCATCTTCACTGAGCTATCTACTATGACCCCAAGATCTTTTATTGGATATTACAGAGAGCTCAGTTCGAAGCATGAATTAACAGGTGATAACAACATCCAGCAAGCGAGGAGGCAGCTCCAGTCAAAATAGTTCATAACAGGCTATCTGGACAAGTTGCTTGACCTGGGAGGATGCAGCTTCTGGTTCATGCAGTGCTGCGCATCGAAAGGAAGTTCAGCAATAACAATCACATTAAAGCTATCAAGGAAATTCAATCTGGATTTTAAGACATTACATTGAATGTGAATGTAGGGTAGAAATACAGTGACACACTTACACATCTTCAGATGCGGGAGAGGAGGGGACACAAAAAGATGCATCTGTGTCAAAGAAAGAAATTGGGTGCGTATATTTTCTTGCAAGTGTTTCCTGCTCTGATCAGCTGTAAACACATTTCCCCAAATTTTTAGAAACTGGGGCATGGCATTAAGCCTTCCAGAACATGATTTAGTTGGCAGAGTTATTTATTCATAACCTGAATTGGCTCCCAGATTGATAAAGATTCAAGAGATCATTATGTAAACAGCCCCCTGCAAGCCTTCCTGTTATCAGTAAAATAGCTCTCTTCCTCACCAGATTTTAGGAAGGCTGTTAGAAAGAAAATCAAAACATGTTACCCTATTGTACATGGGGATGGTGCAGTTGCTGGAATTCTTGTAACCCCATCTCTTCATCTCAATAAATCTTGCTAATGAGAACCCTGTGAGAATCCAGCTTTAAAAATAATCCCTTTTGGTTTTCAATCGTTGTCAAAGACCCTGAGATCATCCCACCAAAATTATTGCCTGTTATTCTTCCACAGTAGGCTCTGGAACTTTTCCAGTCCCTTGCAGTCATATCTGAGTGGTGATCAGCAAGCCACAGGCCAGTTTTATGAGTGTGTATTCACAGCCTTAAATCAAGGATCAGCAGCTTGAGGTACTCAATTCTACTTGTACGTTTGTTTATAAGATCCACCTAATGGGCCAAACACAAAGAAGTAGCTAAGGAAAAGGATACTGCATTCTTAGCAGAGAAACAGGCCTATGAACAAATGCTCAGCCCAAGAATTTTGATCATCAGCAAAATCCCGACTGTGAACCAGTGCACAGAAAATCCCTCACTCTGGCTTTCTTAGAAACTGGTTTAAGATGGGGGAAAAAAATCTCCTCTCCTTTCTGCTATTGCTATTGTTAAACAACTAGGTTTCAAAATCCTTTGATACTCTACCACAAAAACCATCTAACTCACCAGCTGGAATCTGTGTCCGAAACTCAGCCATTCTTTCTCCACCAGCACCTCGAAGCCTCGTATTGTCCTGTAATAGCCATCTAACATGAGCATGGCAAGAGAGGTGAGCTGGGCGGTACGGTCCCAGCCATCACTGCAATGTACAATCACCGAGGTCTTCCCTGATTCCACCTTGTCAGCAATCCGAAGAGCTCCAGCGAGAATCAGCTGGGTTAAAAAGAGGCATTATGTGACTGTGGTATTTATCACAATTAGAAGTAGGCTTGATGGGACAGAACAACTGGGCTCCATCCATCACCTCCACAATTCTAACTAAAAATTGGGACCCAGGCTAGTATATCTAGATCATGGAAGCAGCATGGGGAAATAAACCAGCAAGGAATATTTCAGTATGTTTTTCCACATCTTCATGTTGATGCATGTATTCAGTAAGATGGCCACTGTCTTCTACTCTCAAAGTTCAGTTATATTCCAAAGCTTATATCCAAGCTTATTTGCTAAGGCTTACATATTTATTATTTTAACATGTAATGGACTGAATTTATACTGATACTTAATCATAAAATAAATCAGGGAAGGTAACCTTTGCTACTTAGATATTTGGGGCCATATTTCCTGAAATCCATGGCTGTTAGTTTCCCTGACTGCAGCTTCTAGTTCATGCCATTGCGGTGGGATGGAAGAATCTGGTTATCTACCCTTGGAATAGCCCCAATGAGACCACAGCTAAGTTAAATTCCATAAGTTAATGGGTTTACACAACACGCTTAATCTATTTATGGTATCAACCTATGTTTTGGGTTTACAAGGCATGTTGAATCATACAGTATCAAACAGACTGGGTCTGCACAATGTACTCACCTTTAAAAAAGAACCAATAATGTTAAAACCAAGACTTGCAGATTATGCAAATACACTGCCAAATCTTTAAGTCACCTGGTTAAATTGTTATGTGAACACAGCCAATGCATGACTAAGGATTCAAGCTAAAAAGTTTTACAATCATAGCTTCTGCCAATCTGTTCTGACAAAGACAATGTGCCATAAGGTCATTATCACTCCCAATTTTATGGGATTGTCCCAACTGTTTTCTTGTAGAAAGATATAAATCAGTTCTATTAGAAAATAGACCCAGTGCCTTTATAGTTAAGCGAACCAGTCATGTAGATGCAAAGGATGAAGAAATGGGTCATGTGGAAAACAAAGAACAAAGGAGAGATAAATCAGTTCATTTGTAACTTTTCACTTGTAGCTTATTAAATTCCTGCATTCTACGTAATGTAGATACCTTAGCCAATCAGCCAATACCATGAATTTGGTTGATGAAACCTTAATAAAAGACTCTTCCTGCTAAAACTCTGGCATGTGGGACAGATCTGGTGATTGCTGTTAAAGAAGCTTCTAATAAAGAAAACTTTACTTGCTGGTATACTTTGAGGAGGGGACACGGTGGCACAGCGGCTTAATAACGCTGAAAGTTGCCGGCCAGAAACAGTCGACACTTCAGCAGTTCGAGCCCAGCTTTCGTGCAGCAGAGCGAGCTCCTGTTTCCTCCCCAGCTCCTGTCAACCCAACAGATTGAAAACTAAATGGGTACTCTCACTCTGGTGGGAGGAAAAATGCTGGCGGCGGCGCCTTGCAAAAGGAGTCGGGAGCAGTTGACGGTAGCGTGGAAGCCACGCACGCCTGAAAAAGGCGCAAAGCAACGGAAACCCCGCCTCCTGCGCTCGCCAGCTGGGC